GTACAGCTAGCTAGCTAGGTACAGCTAGCTAGCTAGGTACAGCTAGCTAGCTAGGTACAGCTAGCTAGCTAGGTACAGCTAGCTGGGTACTGCTAGCTGTAAACAGCCAGAGCTAGCTGTACCTAAATCTCTAGATAGCCCTAAACCCTAAACCCTAAACCCTAAACCCTAAATAATAGAAAAGAACACACTAAACAGTAAACACTCAATCGTAAAAGGGATTAACTCTAAACCCTAAATAATTAGCAATAAACCCTAAACCCTAAACCCTAAACCATAAGCAGATTCCCAATGCCGCGCTTGTTAGGGTTTAGGGTTTAGGGTTTAGGGTTTATTAGCTGTGCCTCATGCTTCGTCAAGTATTCAGGGTTCAGGGTTTAGGGTTTTAGGGTTTAGGGTTTGGTGACTAAACCCTAATTTTATAACTTTAATTGAGACATCTTTTCTTGCATAACAACGCAATTCCGTGCATTAAACCCTAAACCCTAAACCCTAAACCCTAAACCCTAAACCCTAAACCCTAAACCCTAGTAGGAGAAAAAGCTAAACCCTAATTCGCCATATGCTAACTGCGTATAAAGATGACCGTAAACCCTCGTTAAACCCTAACGAAGTTGTGTATGGACACAAGAAGAAACGAAGCCTGTACTCTAGGGTTTAGGGTTTAGGGTTTAGGGTTTAGGGTTTACCTTCTCCTTTACCTACTACATTCCTCTAGTTACCTCATATAGGACCATCTTAACGATGGGACACTAAACCCTAAACCCTAATTAGTAAGCCATAAACCCTAATCAGTAAACACTAAACCCTAAACCCTAATCCCAGTCTCTCTTATAATATACCCTAGTAGGGTTTACAAAGCTGCCTATACACCCCAATGCTTCTATTAAGTATTTTTCTCCATAGGCTGCTGCTGCTGCTTCTGTCATTGCTGCTCCTGCTGCTGCCGCTGCTATTGCTGCTGCTGTTGCTGCTGCTGCTGCTGTTGCTGCCGCTGTCTTCTTAGTTAACATTGCCTTCTTTGTTAATAAAAAAGAAGTAAATTGTTATTAATAAAATAAAATAAATAAATTTTATTTATAAAATTAATTCAGGTGTACAGACACCTCTGGTCGCTAGGATTGTGTCTCTTAAACCCTAAACCCTAAACCCTAAACCCTAAACCCTAAACACTAAACACTAAACACTAAACACTAAATATACTTAGCAAAAGTGTTAATAATACAAAACCCTTATTTAACTAAACTTATAAGACAAGAAGGCATCAAAAGTCCGGTTGTCGGCTGCTGGACAGCAGCAGCAGCAGCAGCAACGGCAGCAGCAGCAGCAGCAGCTGCTGCTGCTGCTGTTGGTGCTGCTCTACGCAGCAAATCTCCTTAGCCTGCATCTCTACAATAATTAAAAACATAAATAGCAGCAAATATGCAGTAAATAGTTGTATAATTAACGGTGAGGAGCTGCGACGACAGCAGCAGCAGCAGCAACAGCAGCAGCAGCAGCAGCAGCAGCAGCAGGTGACAGGGGACAGTCCACCAATTAAGACAGAGGGATAAAGGAGACCCTTGTCTTTATCTAAAGGAGACACTCTCTTTTATTTTATTTATTTTATCTCTGCTGCAGTTGCTGCAGTTGCTGCTGCTGCTGCTGCTGCTGCTGGAGACTCGCTGCAGCAGCGCCACCGTTGTCTGTAGTACAATTAAGTAACGCAGAAGCAGCAGCAGCAGCAGCAGCATAGCAGCAGCTGCAGTAGTAGTAGTAGTGGCAGCAGCGGAGCCTGTACTTCGCAGCAGCAGCAGCAGCAGCAGCAGCAGCAAGACACGACAGCAGCACTAAGCGCAGAAGCCAGCCTAGGGATTCTGCTGCTATAGCTGCTGCACTAGATAGAAGAGGCTTGCAGGCAGCAGCAACTGTAGCAGCAGCAGCAGTAACAGCAACTGTAGCAGCAGCAGCAGCAGCAACTGCAGCAGCAGCAGAAGATGGCGGAGAAGGAGGAGCAGCAGCGCACTCAAACTGTTGAGGATGCCGCTGTATGTTATATAGCTGCTGCTGCTGCAGCTCCTACTGCTGCTGCTGTTGCTGCTGTTGCTGTTGCTGCTGCTGTTGCTGTTGCTGCTGCTGCTGGCTATTCATTATGTTGTGTCTCCTTGTGTCTCCTTTATTTATAGGTAGCGAAGTCTTCCCCTTGGAACACCAACTCCTCACACTGGTAAGTCTGCTGCTGCTGCTGCTGCTGCTGCTGTTGCTGCTGCTGCTGCTGCTGCTGCTGATGCTGCTGCTGATGCTGCCTGCTTTTGCTGCTGCTGTTGCTGCTGCAGCACCAACGGTACCTCGTTTGCTTCCCCGCTTGTGTTCGTTCTGTTGCTGTTGCTGCTGCTGCTTTTGTCTCTTGCTGCTGCTGCTGCTTCATGCCCTGCTGCTGTTGCTGTTGCTGTTGCTGCTGCTGCTGCAGGGAGGAGAAGCAGCTAACAGCCTGGTGTATATCTACACTGCAGCAGCAAATAGCTGCAGCAAAAATAAAACTATTAGATGAATCAACAGAACTTTCTTTCTTTAATGTTAAAGTACAAGGAGAGGTAAACCCTAAACCCTAAACCCTAAACCCTAAACCCTATAAACCCTATAAACCCTATAAACCCTAAAAATACCATAAACCCTAAACCCTAGATACTTATATATAGGTTATAAATAATAAAAAATAAACCCTAATAAAAAAAGAGAGAGAGGAAGAGATTAGCCATTATATCCAGTTTACATACATCACATTAGGGTTTACAATTTTTAGGGTTTAGAATTTTTAGGGTTTGGGGTTTAGGGTTTAGGGTTTAGGGTTTAGGGTTTAGGGTTTAGGGTTTATTTATAGGCAAATTTAAGCTATAAAGGGAAGAAAAAGATTCTTTTTTATGATTTGTTTATTGATGCGGATTGGTCAGCAACAGCAAGAGATAAACAAGGAAACTTTCTTGCTAGTAAATAAAGGAGACACTTTATTTATTTATTTATTTATTTTATTTATTTTATTTAATTAATTTAATTAATTTATTTATTTATTTATTTTATTTATTTATATATCTATTCGTTTATTATTGTCTTTTTTTTTGTCTGATTTTCTCTCCTTTTTTATTTGTCTCCTTATATATATATATATATT